ATTTAATGTGCACTATTTCTGGCAGTCTGCTTAGGCCCTTAGTTCTGAGCTCTGCTACCTGCTCTCCGATTAGGACACAAAGTGCAAATTCAGTTTCCATGATGTTGGAACACCTCCAGTGCTGACTGTTTAAACCTCCAGACTCCACAACTGTTCCAGTTTACTAAGCAATTGGATAGGGAACAGGAAAGGAAAAAGCTAAGTATGGGCCTTTGCAGACTGCCAGAAATAGTGCAAATTGAGTCCACTTTAAGGGTTAGGGTTAGTGCTAGGGAATCATGGGAATTGTTTTTTTCTGAGACATTGAGCCTTCTCTGTCATAGAGCTCTGGTGCCACAATAAAATACAGTTCCCATGATTCCCTAACCCTAACCCTTAAAGTGGACTCAATTTGCACTATTTCTGGCAGCCTGCAAAGGCCCTGTGTGAACCAGAAGCTCCCACATTTTGCAAAGTGAATGGTATGTTGCATGCCTCCTGTCCAGAAGCACTTTGCTGTAGTCTCTGGTCCAAAATAAATAATGCTGATACCAAGCAATATAAATACGTTTCTCTGGCTACTTGACTCCTCTTTTGATGTCTCCTCTTTTAGTGATCCCATTTTTAGATTTTGGCCTCTGATTGAGAGTAGTTAGCTATTTAAATGTTTTATTGGTCTTTTATTTCAGAAGTCATGGGTTGGATTCAGGTTTGTTGTGCCTTCATGTTGTTGCTGACTTACGCTGATGCTATCATGGGATTTTCTGGGGCTGGGAGTGTGTGATTTGCCCAAGGTCACCCAATGGATTTCCATGGCCAAACAGGAAACCAAACTCTGATCTTCTTGTATTATTCAAATATCTAGCCCTGTTAGTCTGTGGAATCAGTATGTAGAGAGATCTTGTAGCACCTTAGTCTCAAAGGTACTACAAGAAATCTCTAAATATTATTATTATTATTATTATTATTCCACTTTTCCCCAAAATTGGGACATGAAACGGCTTACAAATGCAAAGAACAATACTGTACAATTAAAAACATACAAAAATGAACATTAAAATAGAATTAAACTAGTACAGTATTAAAATACATTACTCATTAAAAGAATAAAATACAATTTCAAAGATAAAAGTGCTTACAAACAGTACATATTAAAACAATTAAAAACACAAAACACGTTAAAACATTAAAAATAAAACTATATACAGACCTTCTGAAAAACTTCAAAACCAGCACCATATAGCATTAAGAGTTTGTAAAGGCTTGGCAGCACAAAAATGTTTTAATTTGCTACTGGAAAGACAGCAAAGATGGGGCCATTTTGGATTCTCTGAGGAGAGAGTTCCAAAGCCTGGGAGCAGCCACCAAAAAGGCCTTCTCCCTTGTTCCCACCAAAAATGCCTGAGAAGGTGGTGGGACAGAGAGGAGGGCCTCGCCAGATGATAATCATAGTCCAGTGCTCAAACCGCTATATCAACTTGGCTCGGATCTAGACTTAGGCATACTTAAAGCAGACACATTGAAATCATTCAGGCTCAAACTAGCCATTCTCACATTGTTTTCAGTAGGCCTACAGTACTCTAAATTTGGACTTGCCTCCATATTTAAAATGTTATGTTCTTTCCTCCCAGGGTAGAGACTGAGGGCCTTTGCAGACTGCCAGAAATAGTGCACTTTAAATTGAGGCACTGCCCTGGCTCAGTGCTAGGGAATCATGGGAATTGCATTTTTTTCTGAGACATTGAGCCTTCTCTGTCAGAGAGCTCTGGTGCCACAATAAATTACAGTTCCCATGATTCCCTAGCACTGAGCCAGGGCAGTGCCTCAATTTAATGTGCACTATTTCTGGCAGTCTGCAAAGGCCCTGAGAGATCAGTTGAGGTTTTGGCTTGAGAAAACGGAAGTATGTACCAAGGGAGCTACAAAAGGTGATTTTGAATTGGGAAGGAAGAACATAGATAAGGCCAGCAAGAGATGTCTTGAGAGTGTGCTGGAAGGTGTGTGCTGTTGTTTAGGCAGGAATTGACATTGCATTAAGATTAGTACTGCCTGCCTGAGCATCAGGTTCTTCCTGTGGTTAACCAGTGCTTGCTTGCTTGCTTGCTTGCTTGCTTGCTTGCTTGCTTGCTTGCTTGCTTGCTTGCTTGCTTGCTCCTTCCTTCCTTCCTTCCTTCCTTCCTTCCTTCCTTCCTTCCTTCCTTCCTTCCTTCCTTCCTTCCTTCCTTCCACCTAGCCAATTCAAGTCTCCTTGCAAGGAAGAAAGATCTTATTTTGAAAGTAGGAAAGATGGAGGAGGAAATGGGGTACTTACAGCCTTGCATCTGTGATTTCAACATGCCCTAGGACTTGCTTGCCTGCTTCCATGTGACATTTGTTCTCTTCCAGACTATCTTGAAATTGTAGGAGCTGTCCAACACCACCTGTTGACCTCTTCACAAGACTCCTTGCAATTTACTGTTTCTTTGGAAGTTTTTAAACAGAGGCTGGATGGCCATCTGTCAGGAGTGCTTTGATTATGTCTTCCTGCATGGCATTCAGTTGGACTGGATGGCCCTTGGGTCTCTTCCAACTCTGTGATTCTGTGGCTGTTGATAATGAGGCAGTTACCCCATCTAAGTGTTCCCAAGAAGCTTTTCTTGGCTGCCAAGGAAGTTTGTTGTAAAATGGCTTCATTACATTTCCCCCCTTCCCCCATGATTCCCTCTCCTGCACTGACAGCAAATGTTCAGAAATGGTTCTGCTGACGCAAACACAATGTATTTGAGTGGGCCTATCACTGAAAACAAAACAGAGAAAAGGGAGGATTGCAACCAGTAGCCTTAGAATAAATAAGTAACAAGAGCCCACATTTACTGCATCTATGCCACTGTTTCTTCTTTGTTAATTTCCACAGAGTCAATTTTTATTAGAGGGCTTGTCTTCTTGCCTGTTTATAATCCTTTCCAACTGTTCATCTCTCCTGTCTTCCCCCACCCCTTGTGAAATCCATTTCCATAATGCTACTGGGTTTTACACAGATTTGCAGAAGCTCTTAATGCTGATGATTGCGGCTCAGAATCTGCATGCCCACTTGGTATACATTTAGACTCAAAATTAACAGAAAAGCTTACTTCTTTATTTTTATTCTTGCCAATGAAATATCTGGAACAAAGGAAAATTAGAAATAATAAGAAGGACTTTTAAACACTGATTTGCAGAGACACACCACTCTGATATTGTTGTGTCTCTGAGCTTCATGGTGCTGGAAAGCTAATAATGCTAAATTGGTAGCACTTTAATTACCCTGGCCATGCTCCAGAGAACTACTTTTAGGGGCATTTTGTGCGCATCTGGTGGGAATGTTGTTCCTGCCTTCTTTGAACAGCAAACATGCATGCTACTTTGAAGCCTCTCTTGAACATAATATGATATACTAAATGTTTACAGGGTCAGTTTGGCTCCATCGCCCTTTCTTTCTTTGCTGTTTTAATATTTCTAAATGTGTATGCTTAGTAATGGACACTGTTGTCAGTTTTGAAAATACTGATTATTTCTATCAGTTAGGAATGCTGATTATTAAATGAAAGGAACAATCATGTCATGCATCTGGTTTCCTACATGGATATTGCTTTCCTATAGAAAATATTGTGTCCACTGCTATTATGAAGAACACATGTCTCTCTTGCTGCATTCACAAACAGCTGGAAGCCCTGTGTGCTCTAATCACACATGACAGTTTACAGAGAGCCTCATACACAGAAGCAATATTCGTATAATAACTTTGTCTTGTGAGAAATGGTCCAGAGATCCTGACTGTGCAGCTATTTGCATCTCCTTTTGCTACTAAATTATAGCCAGAGGGTTATGGGTCTTAAATTGCCTGCAGTGCAGTAATGGATGTATGTGTGTTGATCTTCCATTTTCTCTGGACAAATGGCAACGGAAATAACAATGAGGTAGTTTGAAATTTAATGGCCTCCATGTCTTTAGAAGCTTGGTAATATAATTACCTGTTTTACAGGCTTTGATACTACATAAATCACAGAAAAATGTCATCAGGAGAGATAGCTACGCATCTCCTGACATAAAGTTTGCTTTCACAGAAGTGCTTTAAGGTTGATCTGTGGAAGACACAGATGAAAATGTTACCTTATAACTGAATTTTCCATCAAAGATCCTGGGTAGAAGATGCTGTTATATGTCTGTTGTTGGCTTCTGTTTATTTGTCTTTTCTTAACTGTGGTCTTCTTTGTGATTCTGTAAGTCCTTGAGACTTGACATTGTTATCTGAGTATTAACCCATAGTTGTGCAAAAATATTGCAAATCTAAGGCAAAATAAATAGTTGTAGAAAAATATGGCAACTCTAAGGCAACCCTATGTAATTCTACATAGAGCCAGCATAGTGTAATGGTTAGGCATTGGACTATGACTCTGAGGACCAGGGTTTGAATTCCTGTTCAGTCATTAAAAGCCATTTGGTGCTCTTGCACAAGTCACATTCTCTCAGAGGAAGGCAAAGGCAAACCCCCTCTCAACAAATCTTGCCATGAAAAACTCATGATAGGGTCACCTATGTTGGAAACAACTTGAAAGCACACAAGGATTCTCTTGTTTCCTTCCTCTTAAAATCTAGTTAGGTTTTGTCAAATCAGCCTTTTATTCTGGTTCTGCCTTCTGCTTACTCTGACAGTAAGAAGGTATAATAACAATAGTAGAATAGAACTTGCCTTGTATGTGTTAGAATTGTTTATTTGTCCCACTTCATCTCCATACTTACATGTGGTAAAACTAGCTAGAGAATTTAAATCTTGTAAAGTACAATCTGTAGAGATATAATTATCTGTCACTATTGTTGATATGTTTATAGAAGTCTACTTCTTCAGGTGCATTTGGTCGTAGAATTAGACTTAAGTCTAGGAAAGCTCATGCTGCCAACTTCTTCCTTTCAGTCAGTCTCAAAGGTACTACAAGATCTCTCTACATACTGATTCTATAGACTAGGATGGCTATATCTTTGAATTCTGTTGTTGACATGAATATACTCACTGTGCAAAATTCTTGAGACACTGGTTCATTCCCTCATGTTTGGGGAAAATGGAGAATCAAATCCTCACAGGTTTTTGTGGGATTTTCAGGCTGTGAGGCCATGTTCTAGAAGAATGTATTCCTGACATTTCCCTACATCTGTGGCTGGCATCTTTAGAGAATTCTCACAGGGTTGACTTGCACTTTAATTGACAATTGTCTTTGCCACCTATGTGCTTGAAACTTGTAATTTATACATGTAAAGTGTGAATGAGAGATCTGATTCCATATGCTGGAGACCATAGAGTGAGCACTGTTTAGGCAGATATGATAATAACTCATAGCTTCCTCACTGAATCTTTATTATGCATTTACGTTCTTGTAAGCCAGAGAGCATGGTTTAGATAGGATTCATTCTCAGCCTAACCACAGAATTGTTGTAAAGATACGTATAATGCAACACCATGTATACTGCCCTGAAATGTTACATATTAAAATATGCAATGCAAACTATTTAATAGTTTCTCAATGATATTGATAACATAGGACTGTGTGAGCAATAAACTAATACTAGCTTTGCAAACAAAAAAAACTTACATTATAAAAATCAATTATCGAACTGACTAAAGAATTGACAGGGAGGGGGAGCATAAAACCATGTACAAGCTTTCAGGATCACCAGATGTCTCCAACAGGCAAGGTGCTGAAAAAGTGGGAGAAGGAAGAGATGTAGAAGAAGGGTATGAAAGCTACCCATACTGTATGTGTAATGATGCTTTGGATGCAATTTGCCTTCCTAAGGGTGTCTGCTATTTGTCTTGTCATCTTTCTTATGCCCTTGGCTAATCTTGCAAATGTGATATCCCTTTATCTCTCCCTCCTTCCCTTTCTGTTAATGTTCTGATCCTGCCTGTGTCTCACTTGGGGTGTCTCATCATACAGTTTACTAGGTGACTGGGTTACACCAGAAAGGCCAACTACACCTCCCTGTGCACAATGCCAACCAATGTTAGATATGGTGTCACTACAGTTCACTCCTGTCAGTGACATCCACCACCACTGCTGCTGCCTAGTAGCTGTTCGTCTCCTTATATTATTACTCCCATTGTTTGTTTGCTTTCCTACCCATCCCTGGGTTTCTCTTCTTCCCTTCCCTTATGTCCTCCCTCTAGTCCATCCCCAGCCCCTCTCTCCTTTAATTTCTTCACTTCTTTCTCCATGGTTGGGGGAGGGCAGAGATGGCTGGTTGCCTTCTTCCTTCTTCCACTCGTCTGTCTGGTCCTTGGAGGTACTCTGTTCTCTGGCTCAGCTGGGGGTGGAGAATGGGCTGAGTTGGTGCTTTGTCCCTCTCTCCCCTGCCTCTCCGATGGTCCTCTTTGTCTTCCTGCCTCTCTGGTGCTCGTTGGGGGAGGGGCTAGGATAATTCAAGCCTTCTTCCCCACCTCTGTGTTGTTTCCTGGTGCTCCTGCAGGAAGGGGGGGACTGGGATGGATTCATGCCTTCTTCCCCACTTCTCTAGCAATGAAAAGACAAGACAAAGTGGGGTAGCTTTCATACTAAGATGTGGCAAAAGCAGTCAGAAGATACAATGCAAAATCAGACCAAATTATTCCATGATAAACCTATGAATATAACCATAATCCAAGTATATGCACCGACTGCAGAGGCAGAACAAGAAGAAATTGATAGATTCAATGGAGGAGTACAGGAAGAAATTGACAGCACACAAACACAAGATGTCAAGCTACTCATTGGAGATTGGAATGCAAAAGTTGAAGCAAAGAGGAACCAAAAACCGTAGGCAGATTTGGTTTAGGCAAAAGAAATGAAGCAGGTGAGCATCTAATAGATTTTTGTGAAGCTCATTACAGAATCATTTTTCATACAACTAGAAAGAAGGCTACATACATGAACATCACCAGATGATCAACACAAAAATCAAATAGATTATATAATTGGAAGTAAAAAATGACAGAACTCTATACTGGTGGCCAAGACTAGACCGGTGCTGACTGTGGCACAGATCATGAATTACTCATAACAAAAATAAGAGTAAAACTCAAGAAGAAAACAAAACCAGTGATTATACCAAAATATGATCTAATTAATATCTCAACAGAATTTACTGATAACATAAAAACAGATTCACACTACTAATCATAATAGACTGAGAACCAAAGGAACTATGGTCTGAAGCCAGAGACATAATAAAAGAAGAATGCAGACAGACACTTTCAATAAACAAAAAGAAAGAGAAAAAAAATGGATGACAGAAAAAACACTACAAACAATAAAGAAAAGAAGAAAAACAAAAGGGAGATAGGAACAAACTAAGAATTATGAATACAAAAGTACAATGGCTTGTGCAGAAAGATAAAGAAAATTGCTACAATGAGCAATGCAGAGAAATAGAAGACAAAAAGGGAAGAACAAGAGATCTATTTCGCAAGATCTGGGAAATCAAAGGAAAATTCAAACCAAGGACTGGGACAATCTATTACAATAAAAATAACATAATTCAAGAGACCAGGAAGGAATAAAAAGACGTTGGATGCAATAAACAGAAGAATTATACAAAAGAGATGACAAAATGAAGGACACATGGAATGAAAAACCATATGAAGATGAACCCCAAATTCTAAAAAGTGAGATGGAAACTGAAATAAGAGAAATAGCAAAAAACAAATCACCAGAAACAGATGATATTCCAATTGAACTGCTGCAGTCCACACTGACAAAGTCAACTCTAGTGCTAACCAACATATATCAACAGATATGGAAAACAAAACAATGGCCAACAGATTGGAAGTGATCAATATACATCCTCAGTCACAAAAGGGGAAACAGAAGAGACTGCGGCAACTATAGAACGATAGCACTGATCTCCCACACAAGCAAAATCATGCTCAAAATTCTGCAACAGAGACTCCAACCATACATGGAGAGATCCCAGAGGTCCAAGTAGGGTTCAGGAAAGGAAGAGGCAACAGGGATCACATACGAGGTTAATGGAGCGTAGCAAGGAGTTCGAAAAGAAAATTAGCATGTGCTTTATAGACTACAGTAAAGCCTTTGACTGCCTAGACCATGAAAGGCTATGGAATGCCCTTAAAGACATGGGAGTGCCAACACATCTGATAGTCCTGATGAGGAATCTGTACTCGGGAGAAGAGGCTACTGTCAGAACAGAAAACGGAGAAACAGAATGGTTCCCAATTGGCAAAGGGGTCAGACAAGGCTGCATCCCTTCACCTTAACTGTACAACCTGTATGCAGAAGATATTAGAAGAAAAGCAGGCTTGGACACAGAAGAAGGAGGAGTGAAAACAGGAGGAACGAATATCAACAATCTAAGATATGCAGATGACACCATAATACTAGCAGAAAACCTCACAGACCTGGAACATCTACTAAGAAGAAAGTGCTAAGGCAAGCTTAATATTGGACATAAAGAAAACAAAAATAATCACCACTGAGGACCTTCACAAGTTCAACCTAGACCAGGGGTAGGCAACTTTTTTGAGCTGGGGGCCGGGTTGCTGTCCCTCAGACAATTGGGGGGCCGAAGCACAAAAAAAAAGGGGGGAATATGCATGCACACTCTCTCAGCCCTAGAAAAGCCATGGCAAAACCCCTGTGGAGATTTTGCCGAGAAAACCCCAAGAACAAGTAATAACAACAATAATCAGTATCATCATGGCGGGGGGTGGCAGCGGTGGTGGCGGCAGGACCGGCATGGGGCTGGTCCAAGGGCCTCGGGGGGCCACATCCGGCTCCCAGGCCTTAGGTTGCCTGCCCTTGACCTAGACAATGAAGATATAGAAACAGTAAAAGAATTCCAATACCTGGGATCAAAGACTGATAGAAATGGGGACTGTAGTTAGAAATGTCAGGGATGATGGGAGTTGTAGCTCTTCACCTCTGGCTC